ATCCTATGGAAATGTAAATCAAGCTGGAGAATGTAAGAATGTATATATTTCTTGTGTCTAAAGCTGTATTTATCCAACATAACAAGTGACAAAAGCTTAGGAAGTACCTAATAAGGATTTTTGTCCAAACGTATAACCATATAATGTTACCTTAACCAACTGATGAGAAAAGAAACAGAGGTTAAGTCCACTACCCACTAAGTCCAAGATTTAGTTCCTCATCCACAGTAACAATAAAAAGCCAGGAAAAATCCAATTCAGACTCATGAAAAATGACTATAGTTTGTGCTCCAAATTTTAAGTGCATACTCAACAAAATTTATGAAATGTCATTTAATAGCACATTACTCTTGTATTAAAGTAATAATCTGATCACCTAATGCTTTTAAGAGATCTATTTCTTTGGAAAGATCTAGAAATTTCTTTGGCCACACTCAAACATTCTAAATACAAAGTTTACACACAATGCATTTAGAACAGAATGTAAGGTCTGCCAAGTTAGCAACTTACATATTAAACTTTCAGCCTTTGCCATAAGGATACACATCACATGCACATTTGCTATAATTTATACATAATACATGCACATCACATACATATTTTCTCTCTTATACATCTCTTAACTTGGCTCACATTTTCATATAAATATATATACACATGCATACATACATGCAGGGAAACAAAGTCAAGAATCATCAGATTAGATGTCCTTCTCATGCTCATTGAGTTACAATCGTTTGCTAGAGAAATTATACTTATGGTGTTCCTTGTTCAGTCAGAGGTTGCAAAAGGTAAGAATTTATGGGATATTTTGATATCTGTATCATGTCTTCCAACTAGAATTGTATTCTTCTCAGTCCCTGGGACTGAAGTGTTAGACACAGGCTGGTGGTAATGCATAGGCTTTACCATATAGTATCTGGGTTCATAATCTCACCCATACTAGGTACCAGCTAGGAGAACAAGTATTTAAATGCCCTGAGCTTCAGCTTCCTCACTAGTAAAATGTGTTAAGAGATCCACACACTTAGTGGCTGCAAGGCACCTATACAGAGCTATCTCCCTAGACTGTTAATGAATATTTGTTCATTAATTGATAAACTTATCTCAGAAAAGGATCTGGACTTACTGCCAACCATTACTTTTACAGACTTGCCTGTTTTACGGCTATATAGACAGGTGTTTGAGAATGTAAGAAATTAAAATAGAAATCGGAAAGCTTTTTAGCCCATTTTGCTAATTAATATGTCAGAGCTCATAAAGAAGAACTCATCGGCTTTCTTCAGTACTGCATCATCTTAAAGAGCTGGGTCAGCAAAGATCTCCGCAGACAGTCAATACATATTAAAACAGTCCCAAGCAGTAAATCAAAACAAAGAATTTAAGATATAGTAAAAAAGTAAAATTTATAAGTCCTTTCTGACTAAAATGTGGAGGAGCATTAAACTATTAGTTTAGGTGTCAGCTCAGTATGTAGGGGAAAAAAAAGAAATGATTTCTTCTCCGATATAGTTTATGAGTCTGTATAATCAAAATTAAAGCATAATTTAAAAGAAGAAGCTATGCCAAATTGGATGTCATTTTCTTTGGATTCTAATGTTCCCTCAGAATATTGAAATCATTAGAAACTGGTTTCATTGCTTAAAATATATGTTTTGCTGAAGTTTTTTCAACCCCCTGCATTTACTAAGATTTGGATTTTGTTAGAATTTTGTCAATTAACAAGATAAGGAAAGACACATTTTTGATTTTTAAGGCTCTCTGAAACTTGTGATTTTTCTTAAAGGAACCAACTAAAAGGCATTTTTGTTCTTAACCTCTCTGGGTAGGTCTCAACCACTCCAGAGACATTGATACCTCTCATACATGGAGGAGGGCCCTACAAGATTGACAAGAGAACATCCTGCCTGCTTCCCAGCTAAGGTATGAGATGCTATGCACTCAGGGGGACCCCTGAGGTAGGTTGTTAGAAAAATCTCAAGAATACTGAACTGATTCCAGAAGGGGTAAGGGGACACTACAATTTAGGCCAACAATATTAGAAAGATTTATCTTACCCGAGCCTTTGATTTGATCTAGGCTTTGGAGAATCAACCATTTAAAGATTAAGCCAAGGAAAGGGTGCCAAAAATATTGTCACAAATTTGGGAGGTACCCAAGCCAGACCAACAGATGGAACTTGGCATGAAATGGCTCTCTACACACTAAGTAGCTGACTCAGAAGAAACTTTAACTCAGATGAATTTATTAAAATGTTGAATATCATCCTAAACAAGAAGATGGATGATAGATTCAGGTCAGCACATGCAATTTAATTTAACTTCCTGATGGTCTTGGATGGTATGAAAGCTGCCCGCATTTCTATAATTAAAAAGAGACAGAGGGAGATACTCTTCCTTTTTAGCAAAAAAGATATCACCTTTTCACTTAAATACTCTGAAGGAAAGATTTGGGGAAGGGAAAGGTAAAACGAAAAGACACCGAATGATTTCTTTTAACAACGGCGAGACAAGTATGATCACGGACCATTAGACATTATAGCTCAGCTAGTAACTTGCTTAGTGGTCACAGACGTACCAGCTTGAGACTACGGTTGTATAGATTAGGTGAATTTTCAAGTTGATTTGTGCAACTGAAAGACATTACCAGACACAAAAGGACCCTTAATCCTCTTTTACCATCGCAGGCCCCTCCTCAGAAACTGCTCTAAGTGCTGCACGTTGCATGTTACGTGAGCGATGAGTTTTTTGAGGATCATTATAATTCAAGATAAATTTTCCAAAAGAAATAAATATAAAAAATGGGGGAGGGTATATTCTTGGAATATATAAATTTATAACCTTCGTTGTAGATTTTTCTTTAATGCCGCTTTGTATTTTCTCAGGATGGTCTCTACAGTTTTAGAGTGCTCTCACTTAATACAACTCTAGGGTGTAGAATTTTAGGTAATTGTTTAGTCCTCCTGATTGGGTTTTCTCAAATGCCACTTTTGCTCCAGAGTGAGCAAAGTTCTGGTTGTTTTCAGCAATTTGCACTGATTCTACAGATGGCCAGTGAAAAGCTCAATGACGCTGTGAGAGCGTATACGAGGACTCCGAAATGTAAAATGGTGAATGTTGTACTAGCAGTTCATTAGGAACCAGAAGTCTTTAAAACACACCAAGCAGCATGGTTCATATGATATAAAAATTAACAGGTTTAAAATTATGCCATTTTTGTCATTTTTTTTCAATTTGGAAATTATTTCAAGTTTTGTACTTTGGGTAATTCTTTTTTACTGTGTTTTTATTTTATTTTATTTTTTTAATATGGAATGCTTCACGAATTTGCGTGTCATTCTTGCGTAGGGGCCATGCTAATCTCTGTATTGTTCCAATTTTAGTATATGTGCTGCCGAAGTGAGCACTCTTTTTTACTGTGTTCTATATCACACTACATAAAAGGATATCATTCAACTTAGTAAAATACTGTAGTGATATACAAAGGTAACAATGTTCTCATTTAAAAAAGAGTGCCAATAACTTTTAGTCACTGGCTGACAGAAACTTGTTTGGAAATTAAGATCAGAATAAGATTTGATTTTCTGGAAAAAAGTCAGAAAGTTCATTTGCTCATTTTCAAAAACCAGATTGATAAACAGTCTTAAAAACTGCATTTTTTTTTTTTTTTTTACCTTGAAGCCTATCGCAGTACATAAAAAGGCTTTAACCTTCAAATGTTAATCTGTGTAACAGAACTAACAATAAGCAGTACCATTTAAGATGCACTGAAGATGAAGATAACATAGGCTATCCTTGGGGCTCCTTGGTCACGAGAACTTCCTTTTCAGACTCCTAAAAATATTTCCAGTCGTAGAGAATTTAATGGACAAGGATGATGGGGAAAAGCAGCACTCTGCAGTTTATCACTCTCAGAGAAATCTTTTTCCTTCATGGTGATCTAACGTCTTAGGCTCTTTATTAGGAGCAGCAGAAAAGAAAAAAAAATCTAAGAGTTGTGAACCAGCCCTTCCCTGCTGTTATCACAAGAGAATCTGGAGAAAGAGGAAAAGAAAAAAAAAAATCATAATCTTGCCCTGGAACACGATGGAAGTAATGAGGCATTGAGGCCACTTACTGCTGGAGACATAATTAGCACATAAACACAGGAGACACTTGGTGACGGGAAAGACTTTCTTTGTTTCAGAAACAGAGGGATGTCAACAAATTGTAACTCTTCTGTTATTTGAAGTGGCAAGCCTAAGAGTAAAATGGATATTCTTCCCCAAATAATACACCCGTAGAGGAAAGAGATCCCTGTAGTATTTGTAAGCTGGGTAACTCTTAAGTGTTTTCAACTAATGTGAAAAAAGCCACGATGAAGGGCAAAGGGTGAGAAGCAAACCACTTGGCAATGAAGGAAAAGCTTGGATTTTCGACTGGAAGGTATCTCCCACATAACGGAGAAAGACCCAGGAAACTCGCAGAGATCCTTGTGAACTTCCTGGAGAACCTCTAGGAATGAGGGAGCTCATTCTTCAGTCTAAAGAAAGATAATATGGCCATCTTGGGTGTGATCCTCTTTGATGACAAGCAAAATAACTATTCCTTTTTTAAGGAGAAATGATCACATTTTTCTTGTTGTGGAGCTCTTTGTTCTGCCACTGTAATGTGAAAGTTATCATGGGAAAGAGTTTCAAACTTTCTTGGATTTTCCTTATAATTTTTTTTGTTGTTTTAAGCATTCAGCTGGCAAACAGGTTTAAGATTTTTGGTTTTATAATTAGTACTTTTTGGAAACCTTTATCCTTTCCTCTCAAACATTTTGAGTCAGCATACATTATGCCACTACACACACAGCCAAGCAATAATTCATCTTTGTGGAAGTCAGAGACATCTCATGTATTAATTAGCAAGCCTTTCAGTGACTAGTGGATGGAAATAGGTTCCAACTGCTACTCAAACACAGCCAGCAATTTCCAGGAAGGAGAATATAAAGTCAGTTACAAGGAGTTTTCTTACCCGATTTGTGGGCAGCCAATGAGTGGACTTTGCTTTCATCTGGCACTGAGAAGAAATAAAAGAGACAAGGATCAGGCCTGCTTGTAAATCAGCCATTTTTGAACAATAAATTGAAACAGATTCATAAGAAGTTAAATCTTTTACTGGAAAAAAATTGAGAAAAAAATGTTCCCTGGCCCTACCTGGGGTGCCTCATTTCTTTTGGTAGATATTTTAAAGGCAGCTATGAAGAAATATATATATATATTTCTTGTATATACACACACACATTAGATCATCTATGAAAATAATTTTATTTTCTTTTGATTTTCAGTACTTTCAGCTCTGTTAATTGGGCTATTGTTTTCATGCTTACAAAAGGAGAAATTAAACTCATGGGCCTAGAAATGTATAATATATAATAAAATTTATGAGTGTAATAGCTATATATATATATACTCTCAAGGACTGGACTTCTATATCTGGAGTAAAAGGGAACACATTTACAATCTCTCTTGAAAAAAAATTAAATACATAAAACATGAAACAGTGGCAATCAAGGGATTAGACATTAGGCAGCAGAGACAGAAAGCAAGTGAGTTGAATCCTATAACTGCTCTAGCTTATTGTCTGGAGAAAGTTTCCAGACTGTGGTATAGGGAGGGAAACAGAGCAGAGCCTGGTGACATCCCAGCCTGAGCACATGGACCTAGATGTCCAGGGAAGCCAAGGCAGATGACATTTGCAGGCAGAGAACCAGAGAGGAAAGACTTAATCCAGAACTCCTGCTGAGATCTGCTGAGGATCTCCTTACGTATTTAGTTGAATATACTGATGATCACACACATGTGAGGAAACTACCCAAGACCTGGGAAAGAACCACCCAAAAGTATAATGGGAAGAGTGTCTGAAGTTCACACAGGGCTGAGAATAGTGCCTAGTCCTAATAGCCAGAGTAAAGATTCATAATTCAGGGCCATGAAGAAGATGAAGAACCATGTTTCGGTAGTGAAAAAAAAATTAACCCTAGATTAACACGGCTCTGATGAAATAAATTTTTGAAAGACACAAGTTACCAAAACTTATGTAGGAAGAAAGAGATAATCTGAATGACCCTATAGTTTTTATTGTTGTTGCTGTTTTTAATGAATTTATAGTTAAAACTTTCCCACACAAAAAAAACTCTAGACCCAGATGGCTTCACTGGTGAATTCTCCCACACATTTAAGGAAGAAATCACACCAATTCTCAGAAATTCTTTCAGTAAATTCAGAGGAGGGAATATTTCTCAACTTGTTCTATGAGGCTGGTATGATGCTGATACCAATACTAGGCAATGACATTACATGAAAGCTATTACCCAGTATCTCTCAAAAACATAGATGCGAAGTTCTTAATCCTTAAGCTGTCTGCATGGATTATCATTTCAGTATCCAACAATAGTTGTTCACTATTTGCTATGTGCCATTGGCTATGTTAGTCTATAAAAATCTGATGCTCAAGGATTGAGCAATGTGAAGTGAACTCTGCTGACAAAGAAGACCTCTTCTGTTTTTCCTAACACTAGAGGTCTCAGAGGAGTATGCCCCTCCTTCCTTTGCCTACACCATTCAGTCATATTTCACCAACCCAGTTATTATATACAGATCTCTCCACTCCCACTATCCCTCCTTTTCTAAGCTATTTCTTTATTTTCTAGACAACAACACTACTTGTCTGTGATTCTTCTAGTATTTTATTAACTTCTTAAAAATCCTATCAGACTTTTCTTCATATTTCTAGTTGGATATGTCAGTCCATACTCATCAGGCTCCAATTGTGGGCCAAATTCTGGCTTTTTCAGGTCTAAAAATATTTACAGTAGAATCTACAGTATAAATAGAAAAGTACTGGAAAACAATGATGATGACTTAAAAATAATAACACTAGTGGCTAAAACTTATAGAGCACCTGTATTGTGTAGGTTCTGTCCTATGTACTTTATAGCTAATAATTCACTTAATCCTCACGATGACCTATAAAGATAGGTATTATTATTATGATCTTTACTATACAAATAAAGAAACTGAAGCATACCTCCAACGTGGAGGATCCAGAACTTAAATATTGCAGTCTTAACCACTCTACTATACTTGTGGTAAGTCATAGAATTTGTTACATTCTTTGAATCATCAGTTGCACGAGTAAAAAAAAACTTGACAAATACTTTTATGTTAGAAAACTATTATCCTTTTTGTTTGAATATGTTATTAATAGAAGTCTTTCTGTGGTGATAAATATCAACAAGCATTAGCTATAATTTTGTTTTACATGTTTGGAAATTTAGCATTCTAATGAGTTTAAGCTAAAATATTCATCCCCATTTCACAAATGAGAAGTCATTTGAGTTAAAATCCTGACTTGGAAACTTACTAGACATATGCAATTTATTTGAACTCCCTGAGCCTCAATCTCATCATATATACAATGAGGATAATATTGCTTCCTCCATAGGCTTGTAGTGAAGATTACGTGTGTAAATTTATGCAAAGTACTTATAAGATCATATAGTAAGTGCTTAATAAATACAGACTACTATCATCATTAACAGGAACCTAAATAGAAAGGCAGAATAACATGATAGTTAATAATGAGATAGATATGAGTTGAATGTCAGCTTTACCAGGCAAGTTACTAAGTTGTTTTCAACCTTTTTCTTGTGTGAAAAATTTAGATAAGAACACCCCACAAGGAGTGCCAGGTACATAGTTCTCAATAAATGAAAACTTTTGAAAAATGAAAACTGAGAGTGGTAAAGGTTGTGCATTTGATGATGATGGTGGTGTTCATTTCACTTCCTGGCATTATAAAGGAACAGAGGGAGAAAACACTTGAGAGAATACAATGCCTTCAGACAGGTACTTTGAATTGTTATTGCATGGATAATCCAACACCCACAGCAGGTTTCACCTCTCAGTTTACCTGTCTCCTAGTTCATTTTGTAGAGGAAGAAAAGCAAAGGAAATACAGTATTCAGAATGTATGGTCTTATTATGTGGCTATTCTGAAAAAGGGATTCATACAAAGATTTTGTTATTTTGCATTTGTCTTTTTTCTTTGACAGACATAAGTTATCCCATTAAATCTAAGCCAATTTAAGTACTGCAAACTCAACCATATTAGGTTAAACATGGTACTTCCTTAACTTTTTGACTGCACACTATTATTCTTAGTGGAATACTTATCATTATTTTAACTGACAATTTGAAATTCTTTAGAGCACTATTTCAAAAAACAGTACAAAAAAAACCAAATGGGTGATAGGCATAAAAATTAGAGGTCTTTCTCCAAAATATTCAGTGACACAGATGTCTATCTTTAGGATAGAAGATAAATGAATAAACATAATGGAAAAGAGAGGGGACTGTAATGACTTAATTAATAGAATACACTTTATTTAAAAGGTTAAACTGGGAACAGTCATCTTTTATGCACATGCTTAGTGCTGGGAAGTGATTTAAATAAGAGTAGCAAATGAGAAAATGAGGTAAAATTACACACACTACCACCACTTTTTAAAAAATGACAAGTGTTATAATTAATACTCAACTTCCTTTATAACTCAGATTACCTTTGAGCTACTCTAAGGTTATCTCTTGGGGCTGGAGCTTAAGCCTACTCATTTCACTGCATAATATTTGGATAGCACAGCGATTGGAATAGTAGCAGTAGGAATATGACAGGTGTGTCATTTCAAACTAAAACCTTATTTACAAGAGATTGAAAAATGAGTGAGCTGGGTGTTGTTAAGGTCTTCCATTCTAAAATGGTGAGGCACCAAAAGCATCTAGTCAGAGAGTGTTGATGGATCAAGGGTCAAAGTTTCTTGTTCTGGTTCTGATGACGGATTCCTTTTTCTTTTGTTCGTTTGTTCTTTTTTTTTAAGTTTCCAGAGCCTATTATATTCCCTTTCTTATCCTTCAGTTTTACACAAGGACAGGTACTACTTGTTCTTGATTACTTAAAGGGATATTACAGTAATCAAAGCATTATCAGTGAAATGTTGAAACCCTCTGAAGATGAAATTCATGGACATTTTTGTTATAACTGTTATTAAATACTTAGAGAGCACTGTGGACTTACTCTTCTTATCTCTGAATTTATTTAGATAATGGGATTTCTATACTAAGCTCATGCTTCTTGGCCTTCCACTCAAGACTGACGGACAGTGATTTAATTCTTGTAAAGTGCTTCATAAGGAGGACACTCTTTGGTTTGGGTGTTTGTTAATTCCCTGGTGCATCCTCTGGTTCAGGAAGACTTGCTTGGGAAACAGCACCCTGATGGCCTCTGTTTCTAGCTGTCTTTGCTGTAGCCCTTTGAAGCTATTTAGAACTGCTCAACACTTATGTCACCTTTTTTAAAACTGTGGATAAACACACAGTGTCTTATGATTTAATCTCAACCAGGCTCATTGTTAGAATTGAGAGAAACTATAAACCAAGAAAATATGGGGAGAAAAACCTGTGAAAAAGATGGCACTCTGAGAGCTTATTAGCAGCAAACATTAAAGGGCTTATAATACATACATTGGATTCCCAATAGGATACATTTATACTAGTACAGTGATCACTTAAAATATTTTATTCTTTTGTCAAGCCTTCTCATACACTTCAAATGCATTCTCACTGGGGGAAAACAATTCTCTTGCTTATTGATAGCATTTGATACGCATTCTATAACATAAGTGACTATTAGGGACTGCACTTGCTTAATAAAAATTTGCAGAACAGTGGCAGATTTGGTGAGTTAATGGGCCCCATATGCTCTACTTAAGTTGACAGAAGACAGTATATTGCTAACATGCACAAATCTCTTCAGATAAAAATTGCCATCAGCTACCGTTACTCTTGAGAATGCCAACACTATGTCATGAATGGGAATATGCAAATGTGTTCAGATTCCCACTACTTCCTATTGAGATACTTTGTGCAAAGCATCACTCTAAAATATGATGCAATGCTTGTCTTTTACATACAGAGCTCTGTTTCATTTAATTTTTACTTCCATATCTTTGACATAATAGA